ATTTGTGAGATTTTCTTCGCTATTCTCGTCTCTTTTTTGATGTTTTTAAGTGGACAAACAGAAACTTTACATGCTTATGTGTCAGTTTGTTGTTTATTAGCTTCTCCGGTATCAATCAGATGTATGGTTTATGATCAAAAAATGCACTTAGACCTGTTAAAAATTCGTCACAGTCGGCCTAAAGCACCATTTGTATCGATGAAAGCGGTATTTAGACACCACTTCTTGAAGTTTCTTACCTAATGGACCCATGAGACCTGCTGTTGTCATTTTTTTTTTTTTCCACGGCTTCAGGTATAAACTGTTCTCCAAAGGTCGAGGTCACCACCATCACCGATAAGATGTAGCCGGACGGATCTGTCCAGAAGCTCCCCTGCACTTGACAGAAGCATCGATCGGTTAATGCTAATCCCGAATCCCTGCTGATGAGACTTGTCATCGACTTGTCACGGAGGTCCATAAGTGAGAGTTTTGGTTGTTTGGCCACAAAGGCAGCGGGAGACAATTAGAGGTCTGTTATCTTATCAAACCTGTTATATTTAAAGACGAGGAGCAAAACCCTGGAGGAAGGATCCATCAAAGGGATTCCAGTGGAAAAGTGAATCCCTGCTGCATGTTTGTGTGAAATTACGCAATTACAGCCTAAACGCATGTTTGTGTTCCCTATACTAATTAGTATTTTGTTTGTTTGTTTGTCCACATGAAATAACTGTCAACAAGTTGGATGACTGTCGCTGAAATATACCACAGGCCAATAATAACTAAAGCCACAATAGAGAAACGACAAAAGCGGTAATTAGAGGCACAGTGAAATCCTAATGCAATTACATGGAGCCGTTTCTGCAGAAAACAAGAGGATTAAAGTTTAAATGACTCATTTGCAAAGACAAGCAATAAAACAGTCTTCAGCCATGTTATAAGGGTTTGGGGGCATAGAATGCAAAATCCATCATGCATTATTAATAAGTTTTATATTAAAAGTAATATATGCACGCTTCCTGCATCTCCCACTACAGAGTGGAAGTGAAGCTATTGATTAAACACTTCATGTGTCTGACGCGTCACGTGTTTGCGCCGAAGACTTGAGGCAACAGCTGGGAAAACAAAAGCGGGCTATATTTTGGAAGCAATAAGTCGACTTTAACTGTTTTTTTTTTTATTTTTGCGCTGTATGGAAATTTGTTCAGCGTTAAGCAAACCAGGAGTTCCCATATTTTTTTAGCCCCTGACCGCCAAAATAAAAGGTGCCAGAGGTGGTCAAAGCATAGAAACCTCCATGAATAAACACACAGTAATGAGACGGGCGGTCACTATGGCTGGAGCACAGTGGGTCAGTTCTGGCTTATTTGCATTAACTATTTAATGACTTACCTTTTGTTGGTGTTTCTCTGTATAGTTTAAACATTACTGTGTAAAGTACCTTGAGGTTACGTGAGCTAAATGGACACAAGTGCTGGGATACCCCTCTTGGTCATTAAATTCAAGTGTGTCATTCAAGCCCATTGCCACAGGTGTGTAAAATCAAGCTCGTAGCCATGCGGTCTGCGTTCACAAACATTTGGTTCATTCTGAAAATCTCCGTGAATTCAAACGTGCTGCTGTCACAGAGTGCCACCTTTGCAAGAAGCCTGAAGTTTCTTGGATGCTAGATGTTCCACAGTCAACTGTACCTGGTGTTTTTGAAAAGTGGAAGCATTTAGGAACCAAGCAGACCACGTAGAGTCACAGCGTGGTCAGCTCTGAGACTTCACATAAAAATCACAAACGCTCTGTTGACTCAATAACTGGAAACTTCCAAAGTTGCTCTCAGCACAAAAAACTTAGCACTGGCAGCTCAAGGTGGAGGGTCTCTCATAGTGAAGCAGCTGCCTTACGTGGCCAAGCACAATGCCAAGTGTTGGATAAAGTGGCATAAAGCTCGCTGCCACTGAACTCTGGAGCTTTGGAAGTGTGTGCTGCTGAGTGAGGAATCACAATTGTCTGACTGGGAGTTTGATGGATGAGTCTGGGTTTGGGGGATGCCAGGAGAATGTACCTGCCTGACTGCATGGTGCCAGCTGTGAAGTCTGGTGGAGGACGACAACGGTACGGGGTTGTTTTTCAGGGGTTGGACTCAACCCCAAAAGGCCCAGTGAAGGGAAATCTTAATGCTTTAGGATACCAAGACATTTCGGACAATTCCGGGCTTCTGATTTTGTTGGAACAGTTCGGTGATCGCTTTCAGTTCCAGCATGACTGTCCACAAAACAAGCTCTATAAACACCGTGATATGTTGAGTTTGGTGGGAAAGAACTTGACTGACCAACACAAAACCATAACCACAACCCCACCCAACACCTTTAGGGTGAACTAGAACAAAGATCGTGTGCCAGGCCGTCTTTTCCAACATTGTTTCCTGACAAAGATTCTCACAGACTCATTCCAAAATCTGGTGGAAAGCTTTTCTAGAAGAGTGGAAGCTGTTATAGCTACAAAGATGGGAACCAACTCAATATCAATGCCCATGGAGTTAGAATGGGATGTCATCAAAGTTCCTGTAGGTGTCCGAACACGTTTGTCCATGTGGTGTATTTTGTGAGTTAGCGCTAAATTTGATAACGTCACATTTCCTTCACTTTCATCCAATCGCATGTCTTTGTCACTCCTCAGGTAGCTCAGTGGCTTCCACCATATTTAGCCAGTTAGCTTCCAGAGAAACAATGCTGTCAAAGTAGTTTTGAATTAACCAGTCCGCACAGTACAACGAATTAGAATAAAGAAGAGTACAAATACGTGACCTCTTCTTTTATTTAGCTAAAGAAGGCTCCATATGTCCTCCACTTTGCTGGGTAAGTAACAAGGCTAGCATTAAACGTGTTAGCATGCAAAGTATTACCAGTGTTTCCAGTGTTGGATTTGCTCCAGTTGGCCAAAGCGCCAACAGAGAAAGAGGCTTCACAGAGTCCTCCTTTCTCTGAGGACATCTTTATGCTGAAGTAAGTCTGAATTAACCAGCTAATGTTAGCCGCCGCCACCGCCGCTGTTAACACTTGGTCCTCACTTTGATGCTGAGTGCTAATTAACCCCAAGTTTGTGCCTCTCATCCAATTCCCCAAAAATACCCATACACTCAGCAATCTTTGAAAAGGCCAGAAGGTTGTTTACAGCTCTGTTCTAAAGTCATTACAAGAATCCTCAAAGACTTCTCTAACCATCTGGATGGAAAAATATTCCCATTATTTTTTTTATATATATATATTTTTAACCCATTTCTCAAGTCACAATGTGCAAATTGCCACTGGGCGAAACCCTTTAAAAACAGCGTGTTGCCACAATTCGCTGCCCGAGTAATGAAGCTGCTCTCAGTAAATAAAATCCACTCTGACCTGCTCTTTTAGCTCCAATTTAACAGTTCAAGCCGCTCACCTCGGGGCCGCGACTCACAGGGAAACGCAAAAAGAACATCACTTGACCCGTGTCTTTCCACTCCAGGACTCTTTCACATCTCAAAGCATTTTTTGGGCTGATTTAGAAAAGGCATTAATGAGCTAATTATCCCATCAGTAGCCATCCATCTGTCTTTAATGCTGTTTTCTTATGTAAATATGTTTTTCTTCCACCTTAACAAGTTCTCGGTGAACCAGTTTTCCACCAGAGGACAATCAAGTTAGTCGGCAGTAGGTGTGCGCACCTCTTGTCTACCTGTAAATAATTCCAAAGCCTCATCTCATCTCGCATCAAATATTTAAGTGGTTCCCAGAGTAATAAAGTTAGGATTGATTAGAGGACGTGCCCCTTTGCGTTTGGACGCCCGAGGCGGGATGGAACCAATAAGAGAGGTAATTAGATGAAGAGAGATGGGATCGAGGACGATACGCTTGTGTCTATCTTTTTTTGTGTGTGTGTGTTGATATTTGTATTTAACAGATTTCCAGTCAAAGGGCAAGTGCCTAATTTAACTCCAGACACTGTCACAAACTGCCCTCACATCAATAAGGGGGAGCAGACCAAATAAATCTATGTTAAAAAAAACTGAGCACATCCACTGAGATGTGCAGCCTTGTCGTTATTTGATTCGGTCTGTGTGTGCAGACACGTGTACAAAGTCACAAACTGGCTTTGCATTTATTTAATATTTGCACTGTGCAGAGACTACAAAGGTTCCTCCACAGCACATGCATGCCATCTAGTGTTGAACTGTGGTAGTGAAGCTGGTTCTGAAAGGCTCCAAAGTCTCAAACTGTGTGGAAAGAAGTTTTTAAAGATTGGCAATTCAGGCTATATTGTCAAGTTCAGCAACACAAATCATGATTGTTGCTGGTGAAACCTGGAGGTTGGAGGTGATGCAAGTCTCTGTTCTGTGCAGTAAATGTGCATCAACCCTCCTCCTTGGCTGCTCCATTTCCTCACATCTTCCATAGTCGTTTCCCCTGCAGTCTAAAATCCATTTAGCGTTCATCACTAATCCCAGCGTAGCACTGAGAGCAGTCAAGCTTTGTGCAGATCTGGAGTTTCCAGCAGGCTTCACTTCTGGCCTCTCAGCTTGTCCTGTCACTGGGCTCGTGTTGATGCGGCGCCCCCGTGGCTCCAAGGCAAAGAGTAGAGGTTTAGGTTAAGTGACTCATCCTGCTGGGAATCCTGAATAAATGACAGCGAAGGGGTGAACACCAGCAGAGGAGGCGGGGCAAAGTAGAGGAGACGCCACATGCAGGTGTTCGATATTCAGAAAAACACGGCAAAAAGTTGTCAAATGTCTTGTGTGTTTGTTGCTTTAGAAAAGATCATGCTTTAAATCAAAATGCATGAGCATCAACAATGTAACCAGCAAAACGTCGCCTAAAGTGACCCAGAGCAATCTACCCAGCTCTATTCCTGAATGCCCTGTGCATGTTTGAGCTCATGCATGTTCATGCACACAACAAGGGGTAACGGACAGAGAGAGGGGAGATTGGGGGGTAAAGGAGGCAACGGAAGATAGAAGGTGAATAAATCTGGCACTCTCCAGAATCACAGACTCCATCTTTAAGAGCAAAGGACTTTTATTATTTAAGTGAGTGTCAAAGACGTCCAGATACTCAAAAAATATATAAACTTGCACTGTAGAAATAGCATTCTCATTATTGCTGCCTTGAGTAGAAATCATTTCAAGCACTTGTGAACCAATAAGAAGCAAGGGCATCATTTCCTAGGATTGTTCTGCATTTTTCTTATCCCTGATTTAGTTGTTTCTCAAATAACAGTACTGCACGGCTGCAACCTCAAGCATCTAATCGTACAAGTCAGTTTTTCTAATCTAATCTAACTTTGAAGCTGGACCAAGAACTAAAAAGAGCTGTCCAGGTTTATGGTGTGTGATGTTTTGGTGCGTATCAACAGTTGGTGGGTAAACAGAGGTCGCAGTAACCTGCTCAGGGTTGTAGTCCGGTTAGTTCAGGCCACCATGTTTGCAGTTTTCTAGCTGTCAGAGGAAAGTGTGGAACACGCGAATCTTCAGACTCTTGGTCCGAGGAACGTTCCTCGTGGAGAACTTGATCACCTTGTACAAATTTGAGCAGCTTCCCAAACCGGGGAAGGGGAACCAGCGAGCGGTCCTTTTGTTCCCGTGAAGGTTCCAGAAGGAGGAGGAGCAGCGCTGGAACACCTCGATGTTGACGGCGTACTGACCCGGTCCCCACTGACAGACCCGAACCAGAGTCACGGAGGAGACAAAACCGCAGGTGTGAGGAGAAACGCCGTGGAACACCGACTCCTCCGGCCTCACCGACACTCCCCGCTCCCACACCATCCCGGCCTCCTCTGCCACTCCCACGCCGCTGAGGTTGCAGAGGGCCTGCAGGCACACTTCCTCCAGGGCCTCCTTATCTGGAAATCGAAGCAGGATGGCAACGAGGCGAGGCACGGCGCCTCGACGCAGCAGCAGCTCCTGCTGCTTTGCTGAAGGGGACAGAGCATATTGCATTTGAAAAAAATTCATGCCATCAACTTTATTGGGATAATTAACATTTATAAATCTCACTGGAGTGGAAAAGGAGGAGAACAAATTAGGCCAAGATGACAAGTAGCCTCCTGTCTCAGAGGTTCTCTTCACCAGTTTTTCCTAATCAGATATTTTACATAAACCAAATTCAACTTATTTTCTATACTTTTTATTGCATGTTTTACCAAAACATTAAAAATACTGGAAGTGATTTCTAATCCGTCTGCTGATGTTACCTTTAGCCTTGTTTTGCAAAGAGAAACAACATCCTTCTCTCCTCCTCTTTGCTATTTTGCTGCCTAATGTGATGCAGCACATTGCCTTAACAGAGGTTTCAGATCTTCTAATGGTTTTTATGTAATGATATGACACAACAGCTACATCATCAGCGGTATCTCTGACTTACAGCTGTCATACGACATGCGTGAGATGGCCCTCGCAGCATGAAACAGCAGATCCTGGTCGGTACTGGTCAACACCGACAGCAGAGCCGAAACCAGACCGGAGTCACCAAAACCTTTACGGATCACAGCTGAGAGGAAACACAAAGTGCCAGTTGACTAAGAACTCTTGAAGCAGCACAGAGGTGTGAAAGCGTCAGATTACAGCAAACAAACAGCAGATACTTAATCGTGTGCGCTTAATAAATAAAGCAAGAAAGCCGTGTATCCGTATAAATAACTTACATTCCTTGGCGAGCTCAGCCACCAGCTTTGCAGTCAGCAGACCCAGAGGCCCTCTGCTCCTCAGCGACAGGGCCAGGATTGGCAGCACCCCACTGATCACTACCTGCTCAGCAGCACCTTTTTCTGGGCACAAATGGAATTACATATGTAGAATTCACAGTCATGACGTTACTATTTGGCATAACATGTTAGAATCACTAGACTCAAGGTCGACTTTAGCCTCGAAGAGATGTGGCTGCATAGAACATACATGTATGAAAGTGTCGTGTACCTTTTAATCTTTGAGCAGAATTAACAGAAATAAAGTCTGTTTCAGCTGCACTGTCCACATGATCTCTCTGACCTGTCTTCACCTGTCCTGTCTTTTCATCCCCCTGCTGCTCTGCCGCTAAGTGACACAAATGCAGCTTAACATCTGCTCACGACAGTCGAAGGCTATCGGCTCCCATCCCTCATCGATGAGGACATGCTACAGGTTTAATCATTCAGATTGCAGGGTTGATATGATGAAGGCATGCTGTCTTCTATGGGAACTCACAATGTCAAAAAAAAAGGGCATCAAATAAAAAAACATACCATAAAATAAAAAAATGAAAAACTACTCAATATACCATATTACACCTTGTAGCTCACTACAGACAAGATCTACCCTTCTGGCCCACACTGTGCCAAACAAACGACCCATTTATTGTCCTGATTTGGCACATATGAGGCCCATAAGATGCTTGACATCTGGCCCATTTAGGATGACGTCCTCTGGTGCTACTTTTGTTCGGGTCTGGTCCAAAACATGCCCAACACATGTCCTATGGAAGGTGAGCATATGGGAAAGTTATGTGGCCTAGATTTGGCCCACAACACACATGACAAGTGGGGAAGGTGGTCATGTGGCAGAATGAGGGTGGGCGACTCAACGGCGTCATTCGAAGCCCAATGTGGGCCAAACGTTCGCAGCTATCTGGGATAACAAGCTGATATATTCCATGCTGTCTTGCATAGTGATGCAGCTGAACCCTATGGGACCGCAAGACCTAAAATAACCTCCAGTCAGAAATGAGATGTCACAGTGTTCAAGAGTGAAGCTAAATGACTCACTCTTCTCCTTAATGGTGGTCAGCACCGTGTTCAGATGGGGTTTCAGTTCATCCTCAATCAGCTCCACGCCGAGGACTCTGATGGCGCCCAGTGCAAGGTTCAAGTTATCTGTGGGGACATAAAGGAAAATGGAGACATCAAGAGTCATAAAATGAAAGGCCATTCGGTGTGGTTGCATGGGAAGTATGAAAGTCATTACAGCTGGGTGAGACAGACGTTCTGCTCATAAAACAAGGTGCCGAATGTGGCAGAACGTACCGATGACAAAGTGCTGGTGCTATAAAAGCAGAATAACTGAGTCTCCATTAGAATTGGTTTATATCCAAATGAGCAGTACTTTTTTTAAAAGAGCCATACCAGCTGAATGTACATAACTAGCATTGGACAAAAAATACAAGTGAGGCTGGTGAAAACGTCATATTTTGCAGGTTTCTGGTCAATTAAAATTTGACTTGATCACAGCTTTTTAAGTGAAAAGTTAAGAGTCACCAAAGGGGGACATTTGAATCTTTCCAGTCTATTTGAAAACTATTGAGACATTAGCCTGAAAGCTACAAAACAGGCCTTTTCAAGTCCAGTCAGATATTCTCATTGGACTCTGACTTGACCTCCAGATCATTCAACCTGTTGTCTTCTAATCATCTCTGTGGAACTTTGGCTGTTATCTTCAGGTCATTGTCTTGCTGGAAAACAAATCTTCTCCCAAGTTGCAGTTCTCTTATCACATCAGGTTGTCCTCCAGGATCTCCCTTGACTTTGCTGCATTTATTTTACCCTCTGCCTATACAAGCCTTGCAGGGCCTTTATGATGCTGCCACCACCATGCTTCACAGTGGGGATGCTGTGTTTGCCAGGCATAGCGTCCAGTTTTGGACGCAATTTTGGTCTCATCGGGCCAAAGAACCTTCTCCCAGTTGTTTTGGGCCATTGCACCTGCTTTCCAGTGAACTCTACTGTGGATTTAGTGTGAGCCTTGTTCATCAGTGGCTTTCTCTTTGCCACTCTCCCATCAAGCTTTGACTGGTGAAGAACCAGACTTGTCGTATTCACATTTTTGTTCATGTTGATCTCATGGTGACAGGAAAAATTAGGCAGGCACTGATGCCAGTATTCTCTTGGAGGTATGAACATCTGTTCAACATTCAGGGAAATTCACACAACAGTTGTTTGGAAATTGGTAAATTGACACCCAGGGTTGGCTACAATCATCAGGATACAACCATTCATAGATTTATGATGGTAGACCTGGACAGATAGTTGACCATGAGGAGTTTTAGCTCCATTTGACAAAAGATATATTGGATTAGAAGCACATACTCCACCTTTGATGGCGTTCTTGCCCAAATCAAACCCCACTTTAGAAATGGGATACATAACATTGATGGCTTTTACTTTGTAACTCTAGTGGAAAATTAATTAAAAGCTGCGTGAGTCCCAGACAGCAGGAACAAGAGAGCTTCACGAGCAGATGTCTGCAAGCTGCCATCTACAACAGTTTCACGCTATTTACTACCAGCTTCACGTTAAGTCCTTTGGTTAAGGACACTTCAACAGTAAACACTGTTTTCCTGCTTGGTTTCGCAGCTGGTCTGTGCAAATACAAAACTCTTCAGCTGCCAGCCCAGTTCTTCTTGGAGTGGTCCTCCAGTTAACCTACAGAGACCAGAGACATGATTGACTAGCATGGTCACTGTTTTCCTAATGATCACCTCAGCAACTGCATACAGAACCAGAATTCTGTGGTTGGGCAGGTTTCAACCAACCTACAACAAACCACATGCAACTGTGCTGCTGCGTTTGATAGATTTTATTATATTTATCCAAGCCACAGGTTTTGACTCATTTCCATCTGATTTAAAAATGAACTACAGACAGACTCTGGAAACTTGCTTGAATTCATTGAAGTTAGAAAGGCACCACCCAACATACATCTGACAGTTAGAGTAGGTACACAACTCAACAACAAAACTGCATTTAGGGAAAGAATTACAGTTGTCTGTAGTACTAGAAGCTTGTCTCGGACATTTCCGTCATTTTATTTGCAGTAGTCCTCACCATACTCCTAGTAGTCGACTCCTCCGTCTCCGTTGCTATGGTTGCTCTTCACTTTAGCTTTGTTGAACCAGTCATTGCCAGGTAGCGTAAAACGCATCGCACCTGGTGCACAAATGTGGGAATGTCGCCATGGAGACCAGATTAAAAACTCCTAGAGAGAGGTTTACCTGGAGCAGAGAGACTTAATCAGCATCGCGTGAAGCTTTTTGGCAAGAGCCTGAATGTGATGTTCTTTTATATGTAAAAGTTGCCCACTCAGGGTTTAAACTTCATTACTGCGCAACTTGCATTAGAACTGAGATAATGGGTTTTACTGTTGTGTGGAATATAACCAGAAACAACTGATGCACTAAAAGAACTGTCAAGCTTTAATCATTCTCAGAAAAAGCAAGCATGTGTGTGGATCTTTAAGGATTCATGGAAAGATCACCGGTTTGAATCTCTTCACTTGTTAAAGGTAAAGATAAAACTCCTTGAATCCTAGTTGTGAGCATCAAAAACTGCAACTGAGGCTGCTTTCCAACCAATCAGCTAACCTTTACCTTGTCCAATTAAGCTGTGGCCAAGGACTCTGTTCACACCATATGTGTGAACGTAACGCATGGAACAGTGTGTAACGTATGGAAGCCAAAATCCCACATCTCCTCATAATTAACTTTGGACCATCCATCATGATGTGGTTCCACTCACCGTTCGGCGTGAAGGGCTGCAGCTCGCTGGACCTGTGTTTATCCCCGTGGGAACGTGCATATTTGTGTGTGAGTGGCACATTGGGGTGCCCCATCCTGCTGGCTCCCGCCGTCTCTGCGCTGCCCTCGGTGAACCTTTCTCAGGTTGACATCTCACAAAACACACGGTGCGTTTTTTGGAGCTGCTCGTCTTTTTTTTTCCTTTTGGTGCTGCTCTTTGGAGTCATTAGCTGCTGCCTTGAGAACACCTACTCCAACCTCC